CCGCCGACTACCCCGCCCCGGGAAGCGAGGCCCGCCGCGCGCCAAGGGCCCGAACCCTTAGACCCCGACGCGGGACAGCAGCTGTATAGAACAAAGATCAGCTGCATCCAGCGGGGTCTCCCCGGGGAGACCCCTGGCGAGACGACAGGACGGCTCCAAGCCACCCTGGGTGGGATGTTCACAGGCGCCTGGCACGCGTTCGCCACGCAGCACAGCAAGGGCGCATTCGACCCGCGACGACACGACCAGCAAACCTGCGTCAGCTTCCTGCTCCGCAACCACAACTGCGATGCGAGGGCCATGAGCGACGCGCTGAACCTCGGCGTCAACTGGGCCCAGTTGCAGCAGCGATTCCCCAGCCGCAGAGACGGCGCGGGCAAGGGGCGCCAGGTGCCCCCTCTGCAGCAAGGCGCGAGGAACGGACCAGAAGAGACAGCCATCAGCCACAGCGCAGGCAGCGACAGCGGGTCTTGTCGCCCACCCCCTTCCGACCGACGGCGCGGCGCGATGACAGCCTGCGCCGACGGGCGCGGAAGGCTCGCCCCCTGTCCGCCCTGTTTCGGGCGAGGCCAACGGCCGAGACCCAGGCGGAGCAGCCGCGCGCGATTCAGGACAACATGCCGCCGATTCCTGACTGCCCCCGTCCGCTCCCCCCCCTTCTTGCGGCCCTCTGCTCTCCCCCTCCCCGTGCCCTGGTTGCCGGCAGGGCCCGTTTGGCCATGAGGAAGCGGAGTGGCTGCCTCACCCCTCCCTCTCGCAGGCACACGGGGCGCCCTCTGCGTCCGACGTCGGGCCCACGCGTCCACGCGGACAACCCTGGCGGTCATCAGCGCTCAAATGAGGTAGTAGCAGAGTCCGCCAGGTTTGGAGGAAGGGGGGCGACAGCCTCATCTGTCTCAACAAGAGGAACAGGGCCCGTTGTGCCCGTTGGAAGCGGAGTGACTGGATCTCCCCTTCCCCTCCCAAGCGAACGAAGTACCCTGGACATCCGACCACCCCGCTCTGGCGTCCAAGGGCGCCCCTGGCAGATCTTGCGAGCGCCCGACGCCCAAGTCCTGACGTCCTTGCGGACGACCCTGGTGGTCATCAGGTCCCTCATGGAGAGGCAGGGCCCGTGGGGCCAGAAAGGGGCGGGCACGCCGTGCCTCTGGTCCTACCAAGAGGAACTGGGCCCCTTTGGCCGGCAGGCAGGGTGCGACTGGCCCCCCCCCGCCCTCCCGCAGGCGATCGAGGCGCCCTTGGTATCCGCAGTCCGCACCCTGGCGCCCCCACGGGCAACCCTGGTGGCCAGCAGACCTCTCAAGGAGAGACAGGGCCCGTCTGGCCAGAGGGGGACGGAGGTTCGGCCCCAGCGCCCTCACCAAGAGAGGCAGGGCCCGTTAGGCCAGAAATGGGCGGCGCCACGGCGTCAGGGTTGCCGCCTCCCCTGGTACCTCCCTGCATCGTGGCGCGTGGAACGGGCCGGGAGCGGCCGCTGTCTGCCACGGCGCAGGCTCGACAGCTGGCCCCGCCGCCAACCCCCCCGGCTGAAACGCTCTTGGCGCGTCTCTCCCCCGCGCACCCGGGCGCCCTCCCGTGCCGGGGTGGCCCCCCCGCGGCTGGGCTCCCGGTTCCCTCGCCAGATCGGTGGTGCCATTCCCCACCGGTCCTGGCCTCTCTTTTCCGCGCAAATCGCGGTTCGCCTCCCTCTCGGGTGAGGGCTACTGGCGCCTGCGGTTCATCCTAGGCACCTTCGTGGCTCCCCTGCGCCGCGTCCGCGACCTCAACTGCTGTGCCGGTGTTCACCCCCGCGCCGTCCGTCCGCGTTTGTCGCCACCCCTGGTGTGCCGACCGCGGATCGCGCTCTTGGCCGCGCTGCAGCTTGGCTGCTCCTCGCACTTGTGCGTTCTGCTGCTGTTGAACCTTCTGGCCCCGGCCACCTGGTACTTCGCAGCCTGCCAACGCTTACGTCCCCTGGGCACCCAGTTCGACATCCGACAGTCGGTTCACTTGGCTGCGGCCACCCTGGTACCTTCGCAGTTGTCCGGGGGCTTGCGCCCTTGCATCTAATTCCACGTATGCTGCTGTCCCTGGTCGACGGCCCCCCCGACGACCTGCAGCTTCCGACGCGTTGCATACGTGCACCCTGGCAGTACTGTTTTTCAGCTTACAGCCAACCCCTTCCACTCGCCGGTTCGCCGCCGAGGTGCTGCGTGAGGCTCTCTCCGCCGCTTTAGGTGTGGCTGCGCCCCGTCGCTTTCGGCTAATTCGTCATTGCGCGCCCCGCTTCTACTGGACCCGCCGGTGGCGCGCTCGCCCGCGGCCGCTGACTAAAAAGAACCCCCACCAGCATGTTGACTGCCCCCCAACCCCCCCAACCCTGGTTGGCTAATCTTGCATGTGCGCGCTCCTGGACCTGGTCCCTGGCAGCTGCAGCTTGCATCCCCCCCCTCGGCGCCGGCCCGCCCGCCGAGGCGCTGCTGAGGTCGCCGGCCCGTCGGCGTTCGGCAATTCGGCTCTTGCGCGGCCCGCTCGGACCTGACTCGCCGCTGGCGCCCTCGCCTGCGGCTGCGACAAAAAAAGGATCCCCACCAGCCCATCCAGAAACGATGCCCAGAGGAACTGCCTGGATCAGGGAAGTGGGCAGCACACAGAGGAAGCCATTATGAGACATCTTGGGATATCTGGAGCCATCTTGGAGGTCATCTTGGGCTCTCCCAGGCGCTCTTGGAATCATCTTAATCAGTGCTCCCCCCCAAGAGGCCCACATGTGGCTAAAACCTTCGTGACATCAATGATTTGGCATTCTCGCCGAGGCCTCTTGGAGCATCTTGTGTGCCTCTGGGGGGTCTCTTGGGGCCTTTTGGGGGTCTCCTTGGGGCCTCCTGGGGGCCTCTTGGAGCCTCTTGGGGCCATCTTGGGGCCATCCTGGGACTTCTTGGGACCTCCTTGGCGTTTCTTGGGGCCATCTTGAAAGAGATCGATCAAACAAGAGGGGAGCATTAATTAGCGTCCCCCCCCCCACAGGAGGCCAACATGGGGCCAAAACCCTAGTCCACCAGCCCTCTGGGCGTCGGTGGTTTAGGGAGTTTCCTCTTCCACCCCTCCGTCTTCCCCTTCGGGGAGGGGTTTACCCCTCCCCCTACCCCTCCCCGTGGACCTGGACGGGAGGGGCCGCGAGGTGTTAGGGCGTCCAAAACGGCCTCGGCGAGGAAGCCAAAATCATTGATTTTACTAGGGTTTGGGCCCCATTTTGGCCTCCTGGGGGGGCAAGGCTAATTAATGCTCCGCACTTCTTTGATAGATCTCCTCCAAGATGGCCCCAAGAAGCGCCCAGGAGGCCCCAAGAGGTCCCAAGATGGCCCCAAGATTGCCCCAAGAGGCCCCCAAGAATCCCCCAGGAGGCCCCCAAGAGACCCCCAAGAGGCCCCAAGAGACCCACCAGAGGCACCCAAGATGCTACAAGAGGCCTCGGCGAGAATGCCAAAACGGCCTCGGCGAGGAAGCCAAAATCATTGGTTGTACTAGGGTTTTGGCCCCATGTTGGCCTCCTGGGGGGGGGGACGCTAATTAATGCTCCCCTCTTGTTTGATCGATCTCCTTCAAGATGGCCCCAAGAAGCGCCAAGGAGGTCCCAAGAGGTCCCAGGATGGCCCCAAGATGACCCCAAGAGGCCCCAAGAGACCCCCAAGAGGCCCCAAGAGACCCCCCAGAGGCACACAAGATGCTCCAAGAGGCCTCGGCGAGAATGCCAAATCATTGATGTCACGAAGGTTTTAGCCACATGTGGGCCTCTTGGGGGGGAGCACTGATTAAGATGACTCCAAGAGCGCCTGGGAGAGCCCAAGATGACCTCCAAGATGGCTCCAGATATCCCAAGATGTCTCATAATGGCTTCCTCTGTGTGCTGCCCACTTCCCTGATCCAGGCAGTTCTTCTGGGCATCGTTTCTGGATGGGCTGGTGGGGATTCGCGAAGCGTCAACAATTGAAGCTTCTCTTGGAGGCCGTTTGGGGACCTCTTGGGGCCTCTTGGCTCGAAATGTCAGCTCAAACTCCCCTTCTTGGACCCGTCTTGTGGCCCTCGTGGGCCGCCTTGGGCGCCTCCTGGACCGTCTTGGGGGGCCATCTTGGGGGCCTCTTGGGTCGTCCTGGGGCGAGCCTGGGGTTGTCTTGGGCCGTCTTGGACGCCGAAAAAAATACAAATCGAATATGCTGAAAACTTACGTTTTCCATTTGGAATGGGGCAATTTTGGCCTCCTAGGCCCTCTGAGGGGGGCATCTTAGAGCTTTCTTGGAGTGTCTTCAGGCCTACTGGACTACCTTGAAGCAATCTTGGGGCGTGGTCGGCCCTGTTGGGCCGCTCAAGTCGTACTTGTATGCCCTCCACAGCTGTCTTGGGCCGCCGAAGGCACGCCCAGAAGGCCCCGCATGGGGTCGGCGCCGAAAGGGAGAGGGAAGGGGGAATTCGGGAGGGTGTGCAGGCCCAGGGCCTGGGCCCCCATTAATCCGCCATATTATACACTCCCAGACGGCGCCGGCACGAATCGTGCCGTGACGTGAACGGCCCCCTCCCCACCTCCCCCCCTCCAGTCACGCCCGTTATCGCTGGGGGGTGACAAGAAATAGTCTCTCGCGCGTGGCCGATCGGCAGGCGCCACCCCGTCACGCCGCCGCGCGGCGGCGGAGAGGCCTCCCCGTGCCCTCGGAAGGCCTCTCCGCGGCCGCGCCCGCCGCGCCCTCCACGGCAACACCTCCGCAGCTGCGCGGGGGCTGCCGCGGACGTTTCACCCAGGGCGAGGCCGCCGCCGCCGCCTCACCCATCGGCCGCCCGCCGCCGCCGCCAGCCATCCGCGCCGCCGCCGGCCGCCGCCGCCAGCCGCCGCCGCCACCGCCAGCGCCGATTTGGGCCGCCGCCGTCGGCGCCAATTTCCGCCGCTCCCCGCGGCGCTGAGCGAGCATGTGCGCGGCGCCGCGCGGCGCCCCACCGCAGCTGCTGCTGCCCGCGCGCGACCCCGCTCGCCCCACACCTACGCCCCCGCGGCAGCCTGGAGGGCGTGTGACCTGGACGCTGCCGCTGACAACGACGGCGACGGCGACGAGGACGAGGACAAGGACGAGGAGGAGGATAAGGGCGAGGACGAGGACAAGGACGAGGACAAGGACAAGGACGAGGACGAGGACGAGAACGAGGATGAGGACGAGGACGGGGACGAGGACGAAGACGGGGACCAGGACGATGACGGGGACGAGGACGAGGACGACGACGATGATGACGACGACAACGACGAAAGCGATCCTCGGCCTCCTCCTCCTCTCACACTGCCAGACCTGCCTAGACAATTGCCTGCATACCGACCTCGTGCTATTGCGAATGCCGCTGCGTTTGCCGCCACCACCACAACCATCACGACTACCATCATCACCACCACTATAACTACGATCACAACCACAACCACAACCACAACTACTACTTCTACCACTGCCACTGCCACTGCCACTATCACTACAACTACCACTACCCCACTACCACTACCACTATCACTAACACTACCACTACCATTACCACTACCACGACAACTATCAATACCATTACCACTACCAATACCATTACCACTACCACTACCACTACCACTACTGCTACTGCTACTGCTACTGCTACTGCTACTGCTACCGCTACCGCTACCGCTACCGCTACCGCTACTACACAGCTGGCGCCCCATAGCTGGCACCACATGGTTTTCACCATAAAACTTACACCACAAAAGACTGCACAACATCTATTGCACCACATCCGCCACCGTGCCTCTGGGCACGGAGTGGGCGAGGCCTCAGGTCCTTTGCCCAATCTCCTGGGCCGTACCCCTCGATCCTAAGGAGTCTTGCAGGGGCCCGAAACTTCTTGGGGCTTCCCGCGTGCTCCTGGGGACCCGTCGCGGCTTCCCGCACTACACGTTTGGCCCAAGGGGGCCCCAAGACGGGCCAAGAGGGCCCCAGGAGGCTCCGAAGACGGCGCGCGAGGGCCCCGATACGCCCAAAGATCGATCCAAGACGCCCACGATGGCTCCAAGACGAGCCAAGAGGGCTCGAAGACGCCCCAAGAGGCCTCCAGGAGGCCTCCCCAGAAGGCCCCAAGATGCCAAGATCATTGATTTAAGCTGTTTGCCCGTTCCGCCTCTTCGGCTGTCCGACGCTCCAAAACAGCCCAAGAGGCTCTCCAAACTGCCCCGAGACGGCCCAAGACGCCCGACAGACGGTCCAAGACGGCCCAGGACGGCCCCAAGACGGCCCCAGAGGCGCCCAAGACGGCCCAAAAGTGCCCCAAGACGGTCGCAAGAGGGACCCAAGAGGGGGAACAGTTTGAGCCCTCGGTCCCGAGGGCCCCCAGGAGGCCCCAAGAGGCCCCTAAGAGGCCCCCAAGAGGCCCCCAAGAGGCCCCAAGAGCCCCCCAAGAGGCCCAAAACTGCAGAGGCCCCAAAACTGCCCCCGAGAGGCCCCCGAGAGCGCTCCGAAGAGACCCCAAGAAGCATCCCTGGGAGCTCTGACCCACAACCCAGGCACGGTAGCGGATGGGCCGAAGGCCATTAGATAGCTCACACAACATGCCTTGCACCACATAGCTGGCACCACATAGCTTGCACCGCATCGCTGGCACCACATAACCACAAAGCTTGCACCACATAGCTTGCACCACACTGCTCACACCACATCGATTGCACCACATCGCTGCCACCCCATAGCATACACCATATGGATTGCAATACATGTAGCTGGCATCACGTAGCTTACACCACATCGATGACACAACATAGCTTGCAACACATTGTTTGTACATCCAGAATGTAAGAAACCACTATTGGGGCGAACGCTGGAAAACATTCAGCATAACGTAAATTGTACGTGCCGCCTTCCTGTTCTGTTGAATCAGCATCATCGGCAGCCGCACGGCAGCTTCAGCAGCACAATCATGTCCAGCATTAGCGTCATCATACCATCATCATTGCCACCATCACCGTCCTCATCCTTGACCTGCCCATCATCATCAGCAGCAGCAGCATCACCACCATCATCACCATCATCGTCAGCAGCATCATCATCAACATCAACATCAACATCACCATCACCATCAACAGGATCATCGTCAGCATCATCATAATCGTACTCATCATAGTACTCCTCGTCGGCACCATCATCAGCAGAACCATCATCATGCGAATCAGCATCGTCATAAGCATCATAAACATTATCAGCATCATCAACATCATCCTCACCATCCTCATCATCACATTCAACATCAGTATCATCAGCAGCAGCAGCATCATCATTTGTTTCATCACACTCGTCGTCATCATCATCGTCATCGTCATCATTATCACCATCAACACCAGCATCACCATCATCATAATCATCAGCAGCAGCATCATCATCTCGTCATTGTCATCATAAGCAGCATCAACATCACCATCATCATCATCGCCATTATCATCAACAACATCATCATCAACCACGTCCTTTTCACCAT